GGACAGCTAATGGTCAACAAGGGAGCCAAGTGCATACGATGGAGAAAGGAGAGTCTCTTCAATAAATGGTGTTGGGAAAACTGGACAGCCACATGCAAAAGAATGAAAGTACGCCATAACCTTACACCATGCACAAAAATCAACTCAAAATGGATTAAAGACTTGAGTGTAAGACCCGAAACCATGAGACTTCTAGAAGAAAACATAGGCAGTACGCTCTATGACATGGGTCTGAGCAGCATATTTTCAAGTCCCATGTCTGACCGGGCAAGGGAAGCCAAAGAAAAAAGGAACAAATGGGACTACGTCAAACTGAAAATCTTCTGCACAACAAAGGAAACCATCAACAAAACGAAAAGACAACCTAACAATTGGGAGAAGATATTTGCAAACCATATATCAGATAAGGGGTTAATATCCAAAATATACAAAGAACTCCTACGTCTCAACAACAAAAAAACCAACAATCCAATTAAAAAATGGGCACAAGATCTGAACAGAGATTTCTCCAAAGAAGAAATACAGATGGCCAACAGGCACATGAAAAGATGCTCAACATCATTAGCTATCAGGGAAATGCAAATCAAAACCACAATGAGGTATCACCTCACTCCGGTCAGAATGGCTATAATTAACAAGACAGGAAACAACAAATGTTGGCGAGGGTGTGGAGAGAAGGGAACCCTTGTTCACTGCTGGTGGCAGTGCAAACTGGTGCAGCCACTATGGAAAGCAGTGGGGAGTATCCTCAGAAAACTAAGGGTAGACCTACCATATGATCCAGCTATTCCACTGCTGGGTATTTATCCAAAGAACTTGAAAATGCAAAGGCATAAAGATACTTGCACCCCTATGTTCGTTGCGGCATTATACACATCAGCCAAGAAATGGAAGCAACATAGGTGCCCATCAAGGGACGAATGGATAAAGAAAATGTGGTATTTATACACAATGGAATACTACTCAGCCATAAGAAATGACGAAATCCAGCCGTTTGTGACAACACGGATGGACCTTGAGGGTATTATGCTGAGTGAAGTAAGGCAGACAAAGACAAACACTGCATGATCTCACTCATGTATGGCAGATAAACTAACGCGGATAAACAGACGCACCCGTGGTTACCAGAGGACAAGGGGGGAGGAGGGGGGAAAGGGGTGAAGGGCGTATTTATATGGTGACCAATAAAAACTAGACTCTTGGTGGTGAGCACGATGAGTCGATAGAGAAACTGATAAAGAATAACATGCACCTGAAATCACACAATAAACCGTGATGACCTCAATAAAATAATTTAAAAAAAAGAAATCCCCGGGTTTCAGGAGCTGCAACGCGACATAACAGAGGGAACTCGACGTCGCCCGTGACCCCATCCGCTCCCGTCCTCTCCCTCCCTGAGTGCCCGACTGGGCGTTTATCAAGACCGTAATTTTGTATTTTCCCCACAGACGCACGTGTCACAAACCCCACGAGCCCCTGTGTCGTTTCTGCTCCGTTGGCGGTGCGGCTCCTGAGTGTAGATTCTCCCGGGTCCGCGGGCGAGGCTGCAGGGGCCGCTCGGCTAAAGGCCGCTGCCCAGGACTCTTCCGGGTCCCCGGCTGCCGTTCCAGCTGCTTCCGAGACACCTTCCCTGTGAGGGGTCATCACCCGGGCCTCCTGGGGGGCGCATGTGGGGTCCCCGGTGCATCCCGACCCACAGTGGGGTCACCAGGCGTGGCCTGGGCTCAAGCCTGCTCCGGCCCCACAAGCGGGCGCATTGACTGCCCTCTCGGACCCTGTAACTGGGAATAAACAGTAACCCCTGGCCCCGGGACTGTCCTGGGGAGTAAATAAGATTCTCTGCGTCACGAGCTCTTAGAGCGATGCTGGCCCTCCTTCTCTCCGCCAGCCCCCAAATTCATTAAAAGGTTTTCTTAGAAGTCAGTCAAGCAAACGTCTCAGAACTCTAAGAAACAGTTCTCTAAGTAACTAATTAACTCTAAGTCCAGTTCTCCCGCTGACCAATCTTTATTTTCTATCTAATTAAATAAGTGAAAGACAGTGGCGTCTTCTCCACCCATTTTCGAGGTTCCTCCGTTAAGACTTCAAAGGCTCCTCCCGTCCCCCTGGGACCTTGTCTCAGGATGGACGGATGGACGAAGGAGGAGACGCCCAGACAGGACCTGCCATGACCTCTGTGGGGACGAGGCCCACGCTGGCTCCCACTCCTCCTCCTGTGCGACCAGCGAGGCCCATGAGGAGGGACCTTCGGGCAACGCCCCGCTTCTGCCTCTCCCGGGGGATCCACACGCTCCCTCCGGCTCTCATCTTCAGAGCTGCATGAACGATTCATCCGCGAATTCTGCACACGGTTCTGGCTGGAGCCTGGCACCTGCGCAGGTGAGGGAGCCCTTGGACTCAAACTCGGGCTCTGGTCTCCACCAGCTGCGGGACCAGGGCCTGGGGTGACCATCACCTGCTCCCCCCAGGGCTCGTGACGGGGCTTTTTCAGAGGGCGGATCTGCACACACGGGACGTGCACGGGCTGAATGTGCCAGGCACAGCCCGGGCCTCAAGGACGCGGCTTTACTCAGAGACGTAAGACAAAGGCCGGGAACCCCATGGCTCTGGGTGACGCCAGCTCAGAACCCCCTCCCTGTGCAGCTTGGGGTTGGGTTGGCCCAGGAGGCGTTCACCGAGATGTGGAAGCTGGAGGGAAGCAGCAGCCGTCGTTATGTGTTTGTAAATCGTATATCTGACCAGGGATCAACGGCCTGGTTTTTTTGTTTTTTTTTTTTTTGAGGAAGATTAGCCCCGTGCTAACATCTGCTGTGAATCCTCCTCTTTTTGCTGAGGAAGACTGGCCCTGTACTAACATCTGTGCCCATCTTCCTCTACTTATATGTGGGACTCCTGCCACAGCATGGCTTGCCAAGCGGTGCCATGTTCTCACCCTGGATCCGAACCGGTGAACCCCAGGCTACTGAAGCGGGACATGTGTACTTAACCACTGCGCCACTGGGCCGGCCCCCACGTCCTGGTGAGCTCAAGGTCAGCTCCTCTGAAGCTCGAGGGAAGGAAGCGGAGCGAGGAAGAGGGCAGGGAGAGGGGCGAGCAGCGAGCTGTGTGGGCACCACAGTCCCACCAAAAAAAACCCCAAACCGAGAGGAGCCGGCGGGATTCTCTGCCCCTGGCGCTGACTGGGGACCCACCACCTGCAACACTCTGCACGGTGGTCTCCTTCTCCCCCGGCACCTGTGGGTTTCAGCTTCCATAACCGAAATATGAAGGAGGAGAAGGGAGAGTCTCGAAGAACCAAGACCACGCGGGGCTCTTGAATTAAACTTTCTGTTTTGGGACAATCGTTGATTCCATGCAGTTGTCAGTAACGAAACAGAGAGATCCTGGGTACCCTTCACCCCATTTGCCCCCAATGCTAACAATGCAAAACTCTGGTGCGGTGACGCCACCAGGATACGGACATCGATCCACTCACGTTGTCCTTCCCTCCGGCCCCACCTCCTCCCAACCCCCAGCAACCACCGATCTATCTCCATTTTACCATTTCGTCATTTCGAGAACGGCATGTAAGTGGCGTCATGTGCGTCATGATCCGAGACTGGCTTTCTTCCGCGGTCGGGGACCCCCCAGACGGTGGCTGCGTCCAGGGTGGGGCCCTTCCCGTTGCTGAGCGGGGTCCTCGGGGCGGATGGACGCAGCTCGATCGACCGTTTCCCTGCTGAAGGGCATCTGGGCTGATTCTGGTTCAGGGACGTGACAAATAAGGCCGCCGTGGACACGTGTGCACAGGAGTCTGCGTGAACTGAGCTGCTGTTTCTCTGGGGTCAGTGTCCCGGCCGTGCAGTCGCTGGGCACACAGCAGCTGCGTGTTGAGCCTTTTAGGAAACTGCCACACACAATGTTTCGAGAGGGGCTGCCCCGTCCCACCTTCCCACCGTCTCAGTTCTGACGTCTGATGGAGACGACAGGACCGAATCACGGAATGTGTTCGAGCCTCAGATCCTGAACAGAAGCCGGCAGCCACGGTGCCAATGCAGGAGGGGCCATCGCCCGGCCACCACGAGCTTCCAGGGACCCGGACGTGCCCCACGACGGGCAGCGGGCAGCCTCAGGCCATCCCGGGGCCAACTGGCTGGACCGAGCAGAGGTCATTTCAGAGCTAAAGGTGCTGCTTTGAAGGGAGACTTTTCCGGAAGAAGCTTATGCAGGCTTCCTGGCCTCAGGCAGACGCACAGACATGGCTCACGGTCAGAATTCTGCAGACTGTTCATAAAAATGCCTTTTGGTGGCACGGCTGCCTTGAAACAAAGGGCCCCCCTAAGATCCCACCCCACTTCTTTCCTAAATTTCCTAACCCTTGTCTTCTCTTCTGCACCCACCGACCCGGACGTGGAACTACGGCTTCCAGGCTCAAAGGGACCAAAAGTGGGGGTTTGGCTGACAAGAAGCACATTCCCGGGAGCTCTTTGCCCAGGAAGGCAGGGGCTCCGTCACAGGGCAGGCACACTCTGGGCAGCGACAGACAGTGTGGCCAGGACACCGGGCGCTGGAGGAAATGCTGGGCCTGTGCCTCTGGCCGGGCTCTGAGCCGGTGCTCCAGGTGGGGACACACCTGCAGGGCCCCCCAGTCCCGCCTGGACCAGGCTGCTCTGGAGCAGAAAGAGGCCTGCCGACCCCGGCGACCGAGGGGGTGACAGCCGCGACCTCCCTCCGGCCCGGGCTCCCGGCTGTGGCTTCTGGGGGCCCAAGAGTCCCCTCCAGGGATCCGGGTGCCCGGGAAGACCCTGCGTGTCTGGGGGCGCGCCCAGGGCGCAAGGGCCAGGGAGCTCCGAGTTCACGTCCCAGGGCAGGGAGGCCCAGCTCTGCTCGGGGACCCAGCGGGCTCTGCCCCGACGGGGGGCGGCGCGGCGAGCGCGAGGCGGAGGGAGGCGCCCCTCCCGTCGGACCACCCAGCGCGCGCTCCCTCCGCCTCCCCCGCGGCGGGGCAGAGGGTCCCCCGGAGCCCGCTCGCTCCCTCAGCGGCTCTGCGGTGGCTGGGGCCTCCCCCGCGCCGGGATTGGATGCGAGAGAACGGGGTGGGGGCGGGCGGGGGACCCCAGAAGCCCAGGTTCCCAGCTCTGGCGGAGAGCAGCGCGCACTGCAGACGCTGCGGGTCGGCTCCCGGGAGGACCTCCGCGCGGACCAGGCGGCCGGCGGGCGGCGCGGAGGAGGCGGCAGCGGAGGCCCGCGGGCGCCCACGATGTTTGACAGCTCGCAGTACCCCTACAACTGCTTCAACTACGACGCCGACGACTTCCCGGCCGGCAGCTCCGACGAGGAGAAGCGGCTCACGCGGCCCGCGTACAGGTGACCTCGAGGCCGCGGGTGACGGCGACCTTCTCCGCTGGGGGCTCGGATAACCCGCATCCGCCCGGGCGCGGGAGGGCTTTCTCCCCTCGGGCGGGGCTCGGCGGAGGGACGCAGCCGTCCACACGGAGCGGGTTCCCTCCGCCTCCCCGAGGGGACCCCCAGGGGCGAGGGACAGCTTCTGGGGTCTGGGCGGAGGCGCAGATGGGGGCGTCCAGGGGTCACCCGCCCAAAACCCCTTCCCGCTGTCCGCCTCCAGCACCCCGAGGCGCCCCGGGGGGAGGTCCACCTCTGGGGGTCCCGGACGCCCAGAAGGGCTGGCGGGGAGGACGGGGGACTTGGCTGCGCTCAGGGCAGCCCCTCGGCCCGCGAGGCTGACGCGCCCCGTTCGCAGCTACATCGCGCTGATCGCCATGGCCATCCAGCAGAGCCCCGCGGGCCGGGTGACCCTGTCGGGCATCTACGACTTCATCATGCGCAGGTTCCCCTATTACCGCTCCAACCAGCGCGCCTGGCAGAACTCCATCCGCCACAACCTGTCCCTCAACAGCTGCTTCGTCAAGGTGAGCCCCCCGCCCGCCGCGGAACGGCCCCCAGCGTCCCAGGCTTGGTGACCGCCCCCCCACCCCGGGGCCAAGTCATTCCAGGCTGGAGGGAGGGGCGCGGCTGGAAAGTTCGCTCCGAGCACACGGGGCGCCCACCGGGACGCGGCGAGCGTCGCTTCGGGTCCCACGGGCGCGCCCCCGACGCCCCCCGAGCCGGCCGCGCGCTGAGCCGCGTCCTCGCGCAGGTGCCGCGGACCGAGGGCCACGAGAAAGGCAAAGGGAACTACTGGACGCTCGCCGGCGGCTGCGAGTCGCTGCTGGACCTCTTCGAGGGCGGCAACTACCGGCGGCGGCGCAGGCGGCGCGGCCCCAGGCGCGAGGGGGGCGCCCGGGAGCCGCCGGGTCCGTCCGAGCCGCTCAGTGCGCGCGGGTCCCCGGCCCCCCGCCCGGCCCCCGCCCCCGCCGGCCCCGCCGCCCTGGGGAAGCTGGAGCGCGGGGACCTCAAGTTCAGCATCGACTCCATCCTCTCGGCCCCCGACCCCTTTCCTGCGCTCACGTCGCCCCGCCGCGCGCCCGAGCGCAGAGACCCCGCGCTGGAGGCCCAGCACCTGAACCTGCGCTTCTGGACGATGTGAGAGGGGCCTGGGGCGGTTGGCCCCCCGGGAGGCTGGCACCCGGTCCATCTGGGGTCGTCCGGGTGGGCTCAGCCCCGCCTCCAGCCAAGAAGCGGGGCTTTGCCGCTTCCTAGAAACTTCCACAGACTCGTGCTGGGTGCTGACACCCGCCTGGGTTGGAGGGAGAGGCGCCAGTCTTGTGAAAGGTGTTCCTGTGGTGTTGAGGACAAACCCTTCCAGAAAAATCTCCCTGAAGGAAAACCTGTGGGGTTCCTGTTCTGGTTAGGGATCCGCTCTGGATTCACGGGGTGACCCCGCCCTGAGGAGCCAGGAACAGTTTAGGGTGCCGTCCACTTAGAGTCAAGGTAGCATTTCCTCCCTCGGTCGTTGGAGAATTTGGTTCATAGATGCCACAGCCTGGTGGGCTCAGGACTCGGTCAGGAAGTGGGTGGGCATCTTCCCACAGCTCAAGTCCTAATAAAGTGCAGACGGTGAGGTCAGACACTGAGCGAGCCCGAGAACATTGTCCCCAGGTTCTTGACCGTGTCGCCGTGGTGGATGCTGTGGTTGCAAGTGACAAACGCGTCTCGTGTCGTGGGCAGAATATTTGGTGGTTGTTTAAGAAATCCCGTGCACTTTTTTAAACCGGAAAGAAGGAAGGGAGAAAGGAAGGGAGGGAGGGAAGGTCGTCCCACATTTGGGACGACCTGGGGGCAGAGCACACTTCTGGGTCCTCCTGAGCCGGGTGTAAGCCCTCTTCCGGCACGTTCCATCCCCGGAAAGCAGACACTGCATAGCAGACGGCTGACGGATTCCTGCTACCCTGTGTGGCGCGTGGGTAGCGACCACACAGTCGCGAGCTGGGAGGTGGGTACACTCCATCTGAAATGTAAATGATTTAATTACCGCGTGGAGACGGGCGTCGTGAGGAACACAATTACGCAGGGAAGCCATTCGACCGGCCTTATCATTTTTCACCAGCCCGTTTTGCAGACTTAATCGCCTCCCGTGACTTAATTTGAACATTAGTATGGATTACGCCTAATCTGATTCACCAGGTGACGACGACAACTGGCTAATTTCGTAAACGGCAAAAACGCACCCAAGGAGGCCGGCTGTCTCGGCCGGGAATTGCGTCTCTTGCTTTATCCGGTTCTGACAAACGGGCCCGGAGTGAAGGGAGGCGGGCGGGCAGCTGAGACAGAGCGAACCCCACGAAGACGCGCTCAGACCTTGACGGTTCGTCAGGTCTCAGAATTCCTTCCTGCACCGGCCCCGCAGGCAGAAACTCCGCGCTGAGTCCCCCAACGCCGGCGGCCCCCTAGGCCAGCACCCCAGCCCCGGGAGATGCTGTCATCTCATCCCCATTCACAGCTCAGGGACCCGCAGCGCAGGGGCCCAGGCCCAGGACGCAGGCGTGTGGCCTCGGGGTCAGGCTGCCCGTGCATCCTCGTGCTGTGGCTCACCCAGGCCGCGAATGCCCTGTGCACGCGTGTGCGTGTGTGTGCACACGTGTGCATGTGTGTGCATGCAGGTGCGTGCTGTGCGTCCATCTGCCTTCCATCTATGTCCCTCTGTTGTTTGTGCTAAAAGTGTTGTTATAAATAATACTGGACAGAATCTGGAAAGTGATGCGATGCTGGCGGCACCGTCCGTGAGTCGACGGCACGCAGACTATCGGGAGGTATATTTTTCTGCTCCCAACGGAGCAAATAAAATGCGCAATTTCTCTCTGGCTCTCGCTCAGCTCCTGGTTGTGTCCAGGTGGCGAAGGCTGACTGAGAACAGAAAACCCTAAACAGGACCATCTCTGGAGGCCCCGGCCTCAGGGAGGGAGACGAGGCCTCGGAACGCGGTGGGGTTTGGTCGCACGGCCTCCTGCGCACGTCCCAGGCGGCCGCCCACGGGGCTCCGGCCGCGAGCACAGGGGAGGCGAGGTCTGTGCACGATGAGGCGTAACATTTGTTTTGCAAAGGATATCAATCATGTTTTTAAACGCGAAGGGACATTTTCAATTTGCCAGCGTGTGGGATCCCGCGACTCCAGCCCCGAGAGTGAGCGGCATTTAATACCGACAACACGCCCTGACCTATTCAAATGTCGCCGCCACCACGCAGGCTCGCCTGACGCGATTATAATTAAGCGCTTTATGCCTCTCTTGCAAATCGGCTGATTGATCACCGACGCGTCCGCTGTCACCACGTCACCCCGAGCACATGTCTGCCACGTGTGGTCACGGATCGCCAGGTTTCCATTAGCAAAGTGGGGGGCGCTGCCCCCGGGGGCTTCGGGGAGGGGCCTACGGATCTCCACCGTGCGGAGCGAAGTTCGGGCCAGGCGGCGTTGGCCGGAGCTCCTCGTCCCCGGCCGCCTGGAGACCGAGGCTGTCCCTCCTCGTGGCAGCTGGCCAGTGGGGTCCAGCATCACTGTGTCTCCCCAGAGAGGCCTCCCCGGCCGAGGTGCCCACAGTCGGACCCCTCCCTCCACTCCAGGCTGAGGGGGCTCCTGGACCCGCCGGCCCACCCGGGGCAGCAAGAAAAGGCCTCACTTCTCTTCAAACTCCTTCATTCCTTTATTAAGCAGTGCTGGGGGCAGTTTGTTTATTCATTCAACAAACATTCATGAGCCCCATGCTAGGTGCTGGGTGCAGCTCTGGACCAGAGGCACAGACGGTGCTCCAGCCGTGGGCTCAGGAGGAGCTCCCAAGGGTGCGCAGAGTCGCACATGCCGGTGCGGTTGGGGAGCAAGCCCGCCCGTGGGGGGTTGGGATGGCAGGACCTCTCGGGGGACGGGCGCCACAGCTCGCTCAGAGACGGAGGTTGGGCAGGGCCCTCCCAGGAACCACCTTCAAGCCGAGGCCTCGGGCAGGGCAGGCGGCCAGGCCGAGCAGAGAGGGTGTTCTCAGTGGGGACAGTGAGCTGAGCCCCGGTGGTGGGAGGGAGTCGGGAAGGCCTGTGGCTGGAGGGCCGTGGGGAGGGGACGAATGCATGAGAAGACCCCAGTCTGCCCCTCGGCCCCAAAGTCCGGGCCGAACACCCTGTTTCTTTAGTTTTGAAATGTGTCCCCTGCATTTGAGTGTTTGTCATTCTTCTTTTTGATACATGGAACTCCCACAGGAATCACCTCCCACGTCCTGGGCGCTTTGCCTTAGCTAATGAGGCCTCCATCCCGGCTGACTTACTTGAGCACACACACCGCGGGACCCCTGCTCTCGTCCCCCAGCCTTCCTCCTTGACCTGTCCGGTACTCTGCTGGTGATACTGAGTTCAGGGATCCAGGACCAGAGGCAGGAGCTGGTAGGGTGGTGAGAGGTGGGAGCGGTCTTCTGGAGCCCCCCCAGCACCAGCCCTCCTGGGTGTCATCCAGGCCTCGGCTGCAGCCCCAGATCACCTTGGCGGCCTGCAGAGGCTGCAGCAACGTGCTGGACTCCCGGGGGGGAGCACTGGGCTGGGAGCGTCGGCGGCTGCGTGTCCTCGGAGAGCCCGTCTGCCCCTGGAGCCTCGGGTTCCTGTCTGTGGCTCAGGCCGCACACGGCACCACCTGCGCTAAGCTGAGCCCCTGCAGGCTGGGCTGGTGGGCGCTGGGCCAGGTCCGTCTGCCGCCTCCCGGCCCCCCTGCCCGATCCTCCACTTGGCCGCCTGGGACCCGGTGAGGGAGGCTGGGAGGCCTGGCTCCAGGCTGTCGGGCCCCCACGGCCGCCCCCTCCCTGAAGCAGCGCCTGGACCCCGGGCCCCTCCCTCGACCCCTCAGGAGCTGCGATCTCCTCCCTGGAAGGCTGGCCGGGGCCGGGCGTCCTCTGCCCCCCACCGCTTCTCTGGCGCATCTTCACACTCCCAGGCCCTGGCTCTGCCTCGGTTCCTCCGTTGTGCAGCGAGGGCTCAGCGCTGAGCTGGGCGGGGAGCCAGGCCGGGTCTGGGGCAGTGGGGAAGGGGACGTCCTGTCAGAGTGAGGCCGCTGGGTCTCACGGGCAGAAAAGGGTCCAGGGTGCCTGTGACAGGACAGGGCCTCCAGGGCAAGACCACCCAGTCGTCCTGTGACGACAGCAGCTAGCGCCGGTGTTTGTTGAGTGCTTTCTGCGCACCAGGTGGTGTTCTGGGATCCTCTGCTTTCAAGGCCTCGTTAAGTCGGTCCCGTAACACCCTCTGTTTTGAGGGGGAGGTTGGGATTGAGCTCAGGGCCCGACCACGCTGGTCAGCAATTTGTCTGGAGGCCCCGGGGTGGCTGGCGGCCGGGCCGAGTGTGACAGTCGAGGGATCATTCCGGGAGGTGGGAGGCAGCGTGACTGCAGGGCCCGGGCCCAGGGGCTCCACACCCCGTCCCCCGCCCCACGCGGAGGGGTCATGTGGTGACGGCCGAGGGTCAGGCCTGCTGGGCTCCACTTCATGGAGGAGACCGAGGCCCAGAGAGGCCTCCTGACCTTGTGGGAGCAGAGGTGGGTCCCAGCCCGTCCCCCGCTCCAGGCGCCCGGCCGCGGATGGAGCCACATCCTCCAGCCTGGAGGTCAGAGGTCATCAGACTCCATGTCCCCGTCCACCAGCTGCAGCCTCCACTGGGTGGAATTATGACCAGTGAAACAGACACAGCAGCGTAAAGGCCTTCGTGCTCCAAGCGCAGGTCGTGGCCACGGGGGGCATGGCCTATGAGCCGTCGTGTTCAGGAACCTGGTCCCGGTCGCTCTGCCTCTGGGGGCGGCTGTGAGAGGTCACAACCTGCAGACAGTCAAGACCCATGAGCCGGCCCTCTGGGGAGGGGCCCGTGGGACACAGCACTGCTGCCTGAGGCCAGGGCCTCGCTGACAGGCAGCCAGCTGGGTGAGGCACAGGACGGGGGCGCCAGAGGGACAGCCTCACTGACCACAGTGATATCGAGCCCTGGTGTAGCAGGGTGAGTGGGTCTGGGCACAGCGGCGGGCGGGCCCCAGGCCCTGCAGACCCCTGGGAGGATGGCCTCCCACACCAGGACCGCCTCCACCCCTCAGGGCTGGGCGTCCGGACACGGCTCTGGGCTGACACAGATCTCGG